ACCATCTTCCTGTATCATCTTAGTCAAAACAGAGATCCTGGGTGGTGCCTGTGGCTCAGGGGAGTAGGACACCAGTCTCCTATGCTGGAGTTGGTGGGTTCAAACCCAGCCCTGGCCAAAAACTGCAAAAAAAAAAAAAAAAAAAAAAAAAAAACCAAAGTATACTTTGACCTGATCATCCAACACTGCCACCACCACCAAGGAAAAGAGTCTTTCTCTAAACTAGCATTATAGATCAAATGCTTCAATTAATTAATAAGAATAGTTTACAAATACTGAGTACTAACTAAGATGCATCCTCACAACAACCCTGGAGGTAGGTGTTACCTTATTATCTCCATTTCACAGACTAAGAAAATGAGATACAGAAAGATACAAAACTAACCTAATTCACACAACTGCCTCCTAATGTGGTAGAGCCTATAAAGTCATTATATGGTGTTAAAATTAGTTCTTTACATGTAGACCCTCTTTGGACCACAAGTAACTTAAGGGCAGTTGTCACATCTATTTATGTTGGTATCTCTAGTGACAGAATACAGGCTTCTTATACAGCATTGAGGAATGCAGAATTGAATGAAATCAGATGAAAATATTTTAAATTGTAAAAATGTATTTTTCCTAATTTTATTCTTCCCATAGATAATTTTGCTCATCGAACTGAAGTTCGGAAAGGCATAGCCAAAGATAAGGAATGGCAGCAAGTTATCGTTCCAAATTTGGCTCTCATTGATAAACAAGAGTTTGACATTACTTACCTGGTACCATGGTGCAAATTAGAAAAACCTCCAAAAGAAGGTAAGTCTTCCCGTCCTAGACTTTGAGTTTTAATGAATGAAGTACTAAAGATCTAATGTTATAAAGACTAAAATTCCATAGGAGAAACAAGAAAATCCTTTGTTTTATATACGACTATATGATGACTATGGAGATAAAAATGAATGTGAGCTCTTTGCTTAGTCTTAAAACAATGAACATCAAAAAATGAAGTAGCTTTCCAAATTGGAATCTGACTGACTCTTAAAGTTTAGCTATGTTGTATAAAAAGTTGACAGGGTTAGTAAAGGTGGAAAAGTGGGTATTAGGAGAAAGGAAAACAGGTTTAGGTAGGTAAAGGAGAGTTTATTAAATTATGCTACAGTTGGCAGCACCTTGGCTCAAGGAGTAGGGTGCCAGCCCCATATACCAGAGGTGGTGGGTTCAAACCCAGCCCTGGCCAAAAACTGCAAAAGAAATTATGCTACAGTTTAAAATTGTAATAAATTTTTAAATATGCAAGTATTTTTCCCAAATTTCATCTAATCTTAGATCATTAAGTACATCTTTGCCTGTAAGATTTGACTGGGAGAATAAATTAACTTGAACTCTTAAGCTGTATTATTCTACTCTAACTCTTATACCTTCCTGTTTCTTGTTTTTCCGTATGAAAAATAATTCCTTCGGATTTGTCTTCTTGCTGATTTTATTTCTTGCTTCTCACTTACGAAAATAACTGCCTCAATCTGATTTTAAACACAGGTCAGATTAGAAAAGCATAAACTAATTTAAATCTTATTTTATTTCTCCCATGAACTCAATTTTGTTAAATTATAAGAGATTTGGAAAGTTTTATTTGGATCCTAACACACTTGAAACTCCCCTAAGCTTTTTGTGCTATCTAAGTAAAGTAGCTGGCCTCTCAGACAGTGTCAAATGTGAGTTCTCTTCCTCTATGTTGTGCCTAGTTCCTTAGTAACTGTACTTTTTTCCTTTTTCTTAAACAAATCGAATCTAATCTAACCTTGTTCAAGTTTCTTTCTTTCCCCACACCCCACCCTTCTGACCAGAAGCTAAAATGCTTTTCAAGCTTTTATCTGGAAATTTAGGAGCAATAAAGCCACCTCCTTCAGGGTTTTCTTTCTTTCTTCAGAAGCTCAGACATGACTTCAGGTCATCTTTTTGCTTGCTGTTTTTGTTAGAAATGGAATCTTATATGGGGAAGTTATACAAGAAAAAAGTATTTCCTCTCAAAATTCAAAGGAAGAGGGAAATGCAGGCAATCAGAAAATACTGCTGTTCTTTACTTTTATACAGGTGCAGACTTGGGCAGCTCAATAATCCTGTTTTATTATGGAGTCTCAGTATTTGTTTTATCAACAAATTTTACAGATTAAAAACATTAGAGAAGGTAGTTTATATATACCTTCTAATCCTTTTTTCTTTTCTTCTTTATTATTAAGCTTAACAACTGACCCTTAAACATGATCAAGGTCTTTTTAAACATAAAAACAAGGAAAACTAATGCAGAGAATTAATAAATATGACTATACAAATATGTATACATGAATTATCCTCTGAATATGAATACGTTGGTTAACCTTCTACTAGAACTGAGCAAACCTGATTAGAAATGTCTTAAGTATGTTCTGTGAAATAATTATTTTTCTCCCTACTCTAGGAGTCTATGAACTGGCTATTTTTCAGATGAAACCTGGTGGGCCAGCTCTGTGGGGTGATGCATTTAAAAGGGCAATTAATGCCCATGTCAATCTAGGCTACACAAAACTAGTTGGCGTTTTCCACACAGAATATGGAGAACTCAACAGAGGTATAGTTACTCATTTCGTCTAGAAAACTACTAAGTTTCTTGGGTCACTTTGTCTCTCTTTTCATTATGGTGTCTATTTTAATTTTTATTTCCAGATTTTTAGTTTAGAATTTTAAAATTTGTAAAAACTGCTTTGCTTCTTACTTTTTTAGAATATGAATACTTTATGGAACCTTTTTCAAATGCTGAACTGCTGCTTTCCATTTGTGTAACAAAATTATAAAATTTAAAAACTGGAAGATCCTCAAGAAATACTCCATTCATCTTTTATCCTCTAAATATACTTTTATTGATTTTTTAAAATAATATTATTTAGAGTAGAGAAATTGTTTCTGAATGAAAATTTAATGTGTATTTTTTTCAAATGCTAAAAATGTGGACAAGCCCAAAGGAAAAAAAGGTAACTCATTTTCTAATACTTCAAGATAATACTGCTAACATTTTGGTCTTTGATGTAATGACATAGGAATACAAAGAACAAAATGTTATTAGACAAAAACAGGCTAGAAACAATGCCTTTTCACAGTTGATATAATGACTTCTTAGCACTCTAGCAAGTTAGATAGCATGTTAGATAGATACATATATAGCATGATTGATAGACTGACCAACAGAATGGCTTTATTTAACAAAATATCGATTTGAGACATTTAACTTTTATAGCAAATTTTAGAAATTTGTATAAAGTTTGTCAGGAAGGCTAAATCATTAAGAATTGCTAATCAAATACTTAAAACACTCTATATCCAATTGCCTCCTCAACTTCCCTAGTTGAACATTCAATGGACATCTCAAACCAAACATTCAAAGCTGAGTTCCTAATCTTTACCCACATACTAAACAACTAGTTATTACCAAAGAAAATAATCAAGACATACAAAAAAATTTTTTTCAAGTTAGAAAATAAATGAGGAAGAAAAAATTTATGACAATTATTAGATGTCTGTCTTATACCATATGCTAAAATAAAAGTCAAATAGATTTAATATAAAAAAGGAAGTCATAGATTTAATAAATGGATGAATCATTAGATAAGTTAACAGATGAATTATTAATTCACATATCCATATAGATGAATTTTTTTAATAATATGGATGGGGACTATATTTCTAAGCCAAAAAGTTATGAAGAAACTATGAAGGGAAAAAATTAATTGATAATTTTATTATACAAAGGCTCAAATGTTCTGCATGTCTTAAATCAAAAACATTTACAAAGGTAAATAAAGAGATGGCTGATAAATATATTTTAAAGAAGATACAAATTAAAACAATAATAAAATCTGATTTTTTACCTAGCAAAGACATGTAGTTAGATAAGGGAAAAATCAAGTATTAATACACCATGTATAGGTTATGTTGGCATAATTTTTTTCCAAAAATTCAGCAATATAAATAAGAGGCCTAAATTTTTTTTTTTGTCTTTAAGAGTATTGCTTCTAGGAAATATGCATGGATATGCATTTCCATGGGTATGTTTAGTTATATAGTAAAGACGTTTAAAAGGACATGAAATACATAGTAGTCATATTTAAATGATAAGATTAAAGTTGCTTGTTTTTAAAGTCTCTGTTAAATCTTCTATACTGGACATGCATAACTTTTATAAGAAAAAGCTACTAAAAATGGGTTACACATACTTTTCAATGTTAAATTCATTCTTAGCATAGTAGGAGAATGATAATCTGAGTATAACATCTTTTCTGGAGCACAGTATCTATTCCTTTAGTTCTCTCAATCTGAATCTTAGGAGTTTATATTAAGGAAATAATCAGATCCACACTGCCAGGTCAAATCCCATCTTTATCATTCACTAACTTTGTGGCCTTGAGCAAATTACCTTATTTCACTGTACCTTAATTTCCTCATTTATAAAATCATGACTGTGATAACCTACCACATAGATTATTAGGAAGACAAAAATGAGTTAATACATGAACAACACTTAAAACCAGGATGGCACATAGTTTAAGCACTCAATAAATGTTAGTAGTAGTCACTGTAGGTGTAAATGTGGGTGCTGCTTTAATGAAGGTTAGGTCAACTTTGTTTACAATAAGAAAGCACTGGAAACAACGTGGTGTGACTCTATGTAAACGTACAAGTAGACATACATATCGTATATATCAATGCATCTTATATAAGCATAAACTATACTTGCCGTGTGTACATTATAAATATATAAACATATATGAAAATACACATATAAATATGGAAAAAGAGATATCAATATAGAAAAGTGGTTATTTAGGGGGATAAGATTAGAAATGCTTCTTACTCTCCTTTTATTTATCTGTGTTTTCCAAAATCTATGTAGCTAACATAGTAAATTTTAATTATAAGAAAACTTATAGTTATGTATAAAACATTTATTTCAGTATTTTATAGAATACTACAATATTGGGAATAATTTGAAAATTCAACAATAAAGGGTTGGGATAAAAAGTTGTTATATAGATAAGAAGGAATTCATATAGCCATTAAAATTAATAGCATTGACATGGAAAATTCTCATATTATTGATTTTTTTAAAGACCCATTTCTAAGCAGAATATATTATAAGACCCTAATTTGGCTTACTCATTTTAGATAAGTAGATATACTATACATTAATAGAGATTTATCTAGGAAATTAACATGCTAATTTCAGTTTTTTCTTTGTATCTAAATTTACAGTTTATCTAACTTTTTATAATTTTTTTTAAATAAAATTAAATGTGGTAGGAAGTGGTGAAACCTAGGTCTGGTCATAATTGTGCCTTTAGCTATGTTACTTTACTTATCTTTAGTCTTCTGTTTCCAGTTTGATTAATTAATTTATAAATTTCTCTCTCAAATGTCTGACCCCTCCAAAATCCTATCACTAACATATTTAGTTTTACCCTTTTGATGCATCACTGTCTTAAAGAAAAGGACAACATTTCTGATTCATTGTTCAGTATTTCCTATTTGTTAATGTCATCTTCTTTAGAAACTATTTTCTGTTTATTCCCACAGTGTACGTTCTTTGGTGGAATGAGAGTGCAGACAGTCGAGCAGCTGGCAGACATCAGTCTCATGAGGATCCCAGAGTTGTGGCGGCTGGTAAGCTTTTCACTAAGCATGAATTATTTTTAGAACAAATTTGATTCAGTCAGTAACTCTCTCTATATGACTTCTTATGAATTGTTTTTCCAGTTCGAGAAAGTGTCAACTACCTAGTGTCCCAGCAGAATATGCTTCTGATTCCTGTGTCATTTTCACCATTGAAATAGCTATCTACTGAAATACCAAGCATTTCATTAACTGGCGTAAGATGTATCTGCTAACAGGGCTTAAATTCTCCCAGCAAATTCTCACTTTTATCTGAAGGAGGTGGTAAGTTAATTGACTATGTTTCTTGCATTTTTGAAAGCCAATCTGTCTTTTGTCACTACCCCTTCAGGAAATAGGTCTGTGCATCTTCCTGGGGACATGTCAGTATCTATTGTACATTAGCAATAGCTGTCACTACTTCATGATCTTGGTTTTTCATTGGTTTCAGAATTTCTCTTCTCCTGTATTTTGAAATCCTTTGCTTTATAGAATTTTCTTATATTCGAATAATGATTTTACATTTTCTTGCCTGACAATATTTTTAAATTATTTATATACATATATAATATTTATCTTTTTATCAAGTGTTTTTTCTGAGATTAAAAATTTTTTCCCAATAAAGTTTATTTTTCATATCAAATGGGATTTATAAAAATATTAGATCAAATATATTTCTTTCCTTTGGAAAAGTATAATTTCATCTGTGTCATCTGTAATAATTATGGTTTTCACATTAATTATTAGTCACTCTAACTTAGAAAATAATGTATAGATCGTGGCAGTAAAAATGTAGAGAAGACTGAAGGTCTTACATACTGAAGGTTTACATACTGAAATGTGTTCTTTTATAATTAATTTTACTAATTTTTACTTCATTTTGGATCACTAGAAAAGATCTTAAGACATCTATTTGTTTTAAAGAAACTTTTATGATAATGGAAATGCTTGTCCTAATAAAAGCCTATATATCCATTCTGATTATTTAATTTGCATTTTATATTTATATCGTTTTCTGGAGTTTCTATGGTGTGGTTATAGGATAGTGACACAGTAATAATTTACCAATTTTATAGTGACTATTAAGTTACATCAAGAAAATAGCTCACTAACACTCGATGGGAAAGTTTCTTTAGTACTGCCACAGATTCTTTAGCGTGTTTTCTTTGAACATCTTTAATTTCCATCTTACTTACCTTCTAAAACCAAGTTTGGTAGTCCAAGATCTCTTTATAGTCTATATTTACAGCTACATCATTTTATATTTCTGAAACATGATATAGCTATAAAATAGTAAATTATGAATTAGCTGTCTAAGAGAAATTTGGAAAACAGAAAATACAGTTTTCTCTCATTTATCAGACCCCAAGGGATCTGTAATTTATCTGGACCATTATACAATGTAAGATATTATTATGCATTGAGAGAAAGGCAGGCAGTGGCAGCTTAAACAAGCATATGCCTCAGTGGTCTTTTCTGTGCAGAGTATAAAGAATCCTAAGACATGTCACTTTTTTTTTTTTTTTTTTTTGAGACAGTCTCACTCTGTAGCCCTTGGTAGGGTGCCATAGCGTCACAGCCTCCAACTCTTGGGCTTAAGCGATTGTCTTGCTTCAGCCTCCCCGGAGTAGCTGGGACTACAGGTGCCCGCCACAACACCTGGCTATTTTTGTTGCAGTTGCCACTGCTCGTTTTTTGTTTGTTTGTTTGTTTGTTTATGTTTTAAACAATAATTTAATGCAATCACCAATTATTTTCTGGTACATTTCTTCTTCCCAGAACTGTGTATCAATCAACTCAAAGATATGATGCTTACTGCAACATCCTTGTCCAATATCCAGTGAATATTTCACAAAAATAAACAAATTTATGAAATGTAGTATAATGTAGAGAATGCCACTCGTCTATATGCCTTCTGTGTCTCACTCATGATCTAGAAAATGCCTTTCCTGCAAACCCATTGATAAAAATAAATAAGAAAAATGTATACACAACACATTTATAAAAAAGTTTTTCTACTTTGATGTCTTTCATTGGCTCTAACAGATTCCCTCGCAAATCAACTTTTGAGTACAAGGTACTAAAATGAACTTTGTAGGTTTGGATCATACTTCAGCCAGTCTATTTTTAGATAAATACCCTAAGCTGTTGAATCTGTTCTATCTTTATTATCTATATCCTGCTTTGAAACAGACTATCCAGAGTCTGCTCAATGGAGAAAAAGTAAAGTGGGAGTGGTGGGAAAATAAGAAGAAAAAGACAAAGATAAATATAGGATTGGGAGGACAGGTGCAGCCATGCTCATCATCAGCCTCAAGCAAAGAAATCAGCTTTATTATATAGGGAAAGTTACAGCTGTTGTCCAGAGACAGTGGAACCAAGGAAAAATGTCTTCAACTTTGTGGGGTTGTGTACCTCCTAGGAAAAAGGTTACAAACAAGTTAATAAAAAACAATCTATTCCATTACAATTATCTGTTTCATCACAAGACTTCTATAGAGTGAGGTAAAAGGTAAAAGCTTCCTGGGAGAGGATGAAAAACAAGTTGAAGAAAAACATGTTGTTCTTGAAGGAAGAGGCAGCCTGGAGGTTGTCCCCTGAATGTTTCCCAAGTTGTGGGAGACCCTGAAACCTCATGACCTGCTCTCCACAACAGACTAGTAAATACCCAATTGGAAATAGTAATATTGTCCAGGTCTTTGAAAAATACAAGGCATTCTTTCACATTGTGAAAAAAATTATAACTATCATGTATTAAAATTCATTGTAAAAAATATTGGGGTCTTTAACTTCTATAGTAGATAAATACAGATAGCATTCTCATTACAGAGGTTCTTTCCTGATCACCAGTGTCATATTTTCAATGCCTAAACATTTACCTATTCTTTAGAATTTAAGTCAGTAAATGGAAGCTTCTAAAGGGACAATATTGCCACTGTCAAGAGCAATATTTTCCTAATAAAGTTATCAGCTATTTGCATATCTCTTCTATGTGTACATGAAGCACCACTTATAAAGTAGTATGTAATGCATGCATGACCTATTTATACAATAAAATGTTCCTAGCCAGGCTCCATGCCTGTAGCTCAGTAGTTTGGGCCATCCCAGGCCTGCTGAAATAACAATGACAAGAACGGAAAAAACATATAGATAGTTGTTGTGGCAGGTGCCTGTAGTCCCAGCTAGCTACTTGGGAGGCTGAGGCAAGAAAATCACTTAAACCCAAGAGTTTGAGATTGCTGTGAGCTGTGACACTATGGCACTCTACCAAGGGTAACATATGAGACTCTGTCTCAAAAGAAAAAAAAAGAGAGAAAAAAATATTCCTAGCCAATATGTAGAATCTACAAAAAGTACAAAACTACAAGTTATCTGGCAACCTATCTTTGAATATTACCATGTAAACAATGAAGAAATGCATAAATTAATAGAGAAAAATCAGATGAATTAAAAATAGTAAGATTACATTACACAATAGTTTATCTTTCTACTAGGTTACAGGAATGGAGTCATTTTTACTAACTAAGCAAAATCACTCTATAAATATAAACAATTTCAATTTACTGATCTGTAAATTAAAGTTACACCATTTGTTTCAGTGTTAGAAAGTAGTAGGGGGCAGCACCTGAGTCTAAGTGAGTAGGGCACTGCCCCATATACCGAGGGTGGCTGGTTCAAACCCAGCCCCGGGCAAACTGCAACAAAAAATAGCTGGGTGTTATGGTGGGCACCTGTAGTCCCAGCTACTGAGGAGGCTGAGGCAGGAGAATCGCCTGTGTCCAGGAGTTGGAGGTTGCTGTGAGCTGTGACTCAACAGCACTCTACCAAGGGCAATAAAGTGAGACTCTGTCTCTAAAAAAAAAAAAAAGAAAGAAAGTAGTAGGAACTCCCGTAGATTGAGTATTCACCTAATGACTATATCCGTGATCTCATCAGTGCTTGCTGGAGAAGTAGTATGAAGTCAGTTTAGGATCAGGACCTCACAGGGTAGGGGTAGTAGCTTGCAGAAATCTCCAAGGCAAAGCGAGTTCCCAACTTAACTCTGCCTCGCCACTGCTGTTTTAGCTGGCCAGGGCCAGGTTCAAAACCTCCACCCTCGGTATATGGGGCCGGTGCCCTATCCACTGAGCCACAGGCACCACCCAAGATATCTCACATAGTTGTGAAATAGTTGGGGACTCAGTGTGTACTCCATATATATATTTATTATATATATGTATATATGCATATATATAAAATAAATTACCTATTTAAAAGTTAAAATTGCACTAAATTAACATTTAAAAGTTAACAAATATTGGCTCAGCACCTGATGCACAGTGGTTATGGCGTCAACCACATACACCAAGGCTGGCAGGTTCGAACACAGCCTGGGCTAGCTAAACAACAGTGACAACTGTAACAAAAATAGCCTGGTGTTTTGGCGGGTGCCTGTAGTCCCAGCTACTTGGGAGGCTGAGGCAAGAGAATCACTTAAGCCCAGGGGTTTGAGTTTGAGTTTTAGCGAGACTCTTGTCTCAAAAAAAAAAAAAAAAAAGTTAACAAATACTACAGAAGATCATTTAATATTATATTTCAGAATGTTGTAGTATTTTAGGGTTATGAACATCAATTATGTTTGATTCTCCAGTATGTACAGGCTAAGGGGAGGGCTGGCGTTTTGATCTCTTTCATGCATACACTCAGAGTTATCTTAAGGGCTTCCCTCGTTTGGGCCAAAATAGGATTACTTGGATTAAGTTCTGTACCTTCTTCTTCATACTTAACTCCAAGTGGAACTTGATGTTTTCTAAAACTTATGACAGAGATTTGCCTTCCAGGAGGTCTAATTGGAAGAGGAAAGTAATTCACAGGTTCGTATCATAGCATTCTGTTTTTCTCTAGTTCATTCATTCTTCCATTCTTTTAAATGACTCAACACCTGCCCTCCCATATTCATTTAGCTGAGGTCTTTTCCTTTTACATCACTGAGAAAATAAAACTGTCAGAAGAGACTTTGCACAAGCTCCCACCTCTTATCCACCTGCTTTCTGCATCCTAGCCCATAGCGTCTGAAACCACAAGACTGAGGCACATGATGTAGGGAGTGAGTGTAAATAGAAAAGGAAAGAGGTCCAAGGCATCATCTCGGTAAGGCCTACCCTCTGTCCTCTTACTGTGGGTGAATGATCCACTCACCTCTACCGGACGCTCCTTCCTGAAGGCTGTGGCTCCGCAGCTTTCTCTCGCAACTGGATCCTTCTCCTCAGCTTACCAATATGCTATTGTTTTCCCTGCCATCTTTTAAAAGAATAAAAACTTCTCACCCCTTTTTTCCCTTTACAATATGACTTAGAAGAGTAGTTCATATTTCCTATCTCCATTTTCTCTCCTCATATTATCTCATAAACGTTTTCTAATCACCA